GATCCCCCCCCGCCAGAGCCATGTGGGCAGAGAGTCGCAGGATCGAGCCCCGCGCCTGGGGGGTTGTTTAAAAGTCCCAGACTCGCTCCTCCCCGTGGCGCGCTGCAGAGCGGCCCCTCTAGGGTGCACCCCCGGCCCTGCCAGCAGCCCCCTCCCTCCGCCCATGAGCCAGGCAGCCTCCCCTCCCTGGCATCTCCAGCCCCACCACCGCTTGCACCGCTCTGGCTCCAGCCGGGCCTGGCGCGCAAGCCCATGTCTGCAGCAGGGCTCCCCGGAGCGCCTGGAAAGATCCAAGCCCCCAACGTGTCGGGCTGGAGGAAGGCACCTGGGGAGGGCTGTGGGGGGACCAGCCCTCGCCCCCTCTGCTGTCAGCTCCGTGCAAGCCTCCAGAGGAACCGCGTGTGACTCCCATGCCCATTCCCCCCGCCACTTTTCTCACGGGTCCACCCGAGTCCCGTTTCCAAGTCATTTCTTTCCCATGCGCTTCCCCTTCTTGCCTCCGCACATGATCGTAGGGCAGTGACTTGGGTACCGCGCTGGAATGGGCTAAGCTAGTTCCTACCGTGCACAGGAAATACTTCTTTCACTTAATGTTTGTCTTGCATTTTAACAGATATTTCCCGCCCTCCCCCAGTCCAGTGGCAACAAACATTTGCAACAAAGTGATTTAACTGCAGGCTTAGCAGAGTCTGCTGATTCATGTTATGTGCAGAACTGGCCACAAATGGGGCATATTTTCCTTGACATATGTTCTGTTTCTTCCATTTGAATTTTGCATATATGTGTGTGATTTTCATCCTTCTTTTAGTTTCCAGATTCCCCTCCCCCCCCACAATCGAAAAGAAGGGGGTAAGAGTAAACACACACACAGTGAAAAACCATCAAAAAATCCCAACCTGATTTTTATTTAGCAATTCATTTATGTATTTGGTAAGAACAAATAATTTCAATCAAAATGACAGTTTTCTGCTCTTGCCAAAAAGGCATTTTCATTAAAAGAAAATGTTTTGATGACAACATTTCAAACTGCCCCATATATTGTTGTTTTTTAGCTGGGAAGCCAAGTTCATTTTGCTATTATCTTAGCTTCAGGGAGATCTATCTAAAGCTGTATAGATATAGCTATACAATTTGTGGGGCTATCACTCTAGATAAATATATCTAAACTATCTATGTGCACACAGAGGCTACGTCTAGACTGCAAACCTCTTTTGAAAGAGGCTTTTTCAAAAGTATCTTTCGAAAAAGCCTCTTTCGGAAGAGAGCGTCTAGACAAGAAGATTCTTCAAAAAAGTGGCTCGCTTTTTCGAAAGAGAGTCTAGATGCTTTCTTTCGAAAAAGCCCTGTTTTCATGCAATAGCGCCTTTTTTCGAAAGGTGACTTTCAAAAAAAGGCGTTATTCCTTGTAGAATGAGGTTTACCATCGTCAACAAAACTGCCACGTTCTTTCAATTTACTGTCGACAGAACATGGCGGTAGTCTAGACGCAGGTACAGGTTTTTTTTTAAAAAAAACCCTGTAGTCTAGACACACCTAAAGAGACTGAAAACCTACTTTTTCTCCATCTTCAGAGGGATAACAGAGTTAGTCTGTAACTAGAAAAGCTTAAAAAACAATGAATAGTCTGGTAGCACCTTAAAGACTAACAAAACATGTAGATGGTATCATAAGATTTCGTGGGCACAGCCCACTTCTTCAGATGACTGGAGTATTAAAAGTCCAGATCCAACAATAAATAAGGGAGGGGGGGAGGAGGAAAAAAAGGAGAAAAAAAAGACAATGAATAGATTGTTCAAGTAGTTACAAGAGGCTGATAAGAACAATTAGCACCTCCATTGTTTGGTTGGTTGGTTAAGTCATTAGGATGTGGAAGGTAGCCAGCCTATATCTCTGTTCATTCCATTCTCATTCCACTTGTCATCACCTACAGCCCACAACTTAAACCCCTTCAACACCTTATCGACAATCTACAACTTATCCTGGAAAATGACCCCTCACTCTTACAGGCTTTGGGGGAAAGGCCAATCCTCACCCTCAGACAAAAGTCATTAGGATGTGGAAGGTAGCCAGCCTATATCTCTGTTCATTCCATTCTCGCTAACATCTTTATGGCTGACCTAGAACAACGTTTCCTCAACTCCCGTCCCCTTTCACCCCTCCTCTACCTACGGTACATCGATGACATCTTTATGATCTGGACACATGGCCAAGAAACACTGGAGATATTCCACAGAGATTTCAACAACCTACACCCCACCATCAACCTCAGCCTGGACCATTCTACACGAGAGATCCACTTCCTGGACACCACCGTACAAATCAACAATGGAAAATTAGACACCACTCTCTACAGAAAACCCACTGACTCATACAGTTACCTACATGCATCCAGCTCCCATCCAGAACACACCACACGATCCATCGTCTATAGCCAAGCCCTTCGATACAACCGCATCTGCTCTAACCCCACTGACAGAGACCAGAAGCTTCAGGATCTCTACCAAGCATTTATAAATCTCAACTACCCACCCAGAGAAATAAAAAAGCAAATTGAAAGAGCCAGACGAATACCTAGAAACCATCTACTTCAAGACAGACCCAAGAAAACCAACAATAGAACACCACTTGTCATCACCTACAACCCCCAACTTAAACCTGTCCAACACATTATCAATAAACTACAGCCTATATTGGAACAGGATACCATACTCAAAGAGGCTCTGGGAGACAGACCCATAGTCTCCTATAGACAACCACCTAACCTCAAGATGATTCTTACCAACCACCACAGGACATACCACACTAATACCAACCCTGGTACCTTCCCTTGCAACAAACCCCGTTGCCAGCTTTGTCCACATATTCATTCTGCTGATACCATTATTGGACCTAACCAAGTGAGTTATAAGATCAAGAACACATATTCCTGCGCATCCAGAAATATAATCTATGCTATCATGTGCCGAAAGTGTCCGTCTGCTATGTACATTGGACAAACATCTCAGACACTTCGCCAAAGGATTAATGCCCACAAAACAGATATCAGACAAGATCACAAAGAGAAAACAGTTTCTTGCCACTTTAACCAGAAAGGACACTCTCTAAATGACTTAGCCACCTGCATTCTGCTACAAAGACCTTTTACATCTGCACTTGAAAGGGAATCCTCTGAACTGTCATTCATGTTAAAATTCGACACTTACCACCAGGGACTTAACAAGTCTTTGAACTTTCTCACCCATTATCAAGACAGTTTCCCCAATTATCACCTGTAATACCATTAACTCACAAACATCCCACTCTCCCTACCTCTAATATCATCAATTCACAGACACTTACCTTCCTTCCTCCCCCTTCCCACCCCCCCGCCTCCTCCTTCTGTTCTGCAATGTGATTTGTCCTTTTCATATTTGTTCATTTTTTTTAATTGTATCCTTTGGTATATATGGTTGTGACTACTTTCTTCCACTATTTGATCTGAGGAAGTGGGTCTGGCCCACGAAAGCTCATCATCTAATAAACCATCTTGTTAGTCTTTAAAGTGCTACATTGTCCTGCATTTTGCTTCAACTACCCCAGACTAACACGGCTACATTTCTATCACTATGTATATTGGCCAAACTGGACAGTCTCTACAGGAAAGAATTAATGGACACAAATCAGACATCTGAAAAGGCAACACAGAAATCTGTTGGAGAACACTTTAACCTGGCCAGGCACTCATTAATGGATCTCCAAGTCATCGTGTTGTTTCAGGCCAAGTCTATGAGCCAAATACAAAGGGAAGGGTTGGAACTTAACTTCATTCCATTCTGATAAGAATCAAACTTGTAAATGAACAGAGATATTGGCTAGCTTGCACACCGACCTTCCACATCCTAATGCAGTAGTCCCCAACCTTTCGTGGCTGCCGGGCGTCTGGGGGTGGGGCTGCTCACGCACCACGCTTCTGGGGGTAGGGTCATGCATGTGCTGCGTGCCTAGGGTCGGGGCTGCCCCACGTGCCCGGGGCCGGCACCGTGCATGTGCCATGCGCCGGGAGTAGGGGCCGCCCACACACCCTGTGCCCGGGGCTGGCATCATGCATGTGCTGCCCGCTGGGGCGGGGCCGGCCCAGATGTTTCGGCAGGTGCACATAAATGCCCCGGTGGGCGCCATGACGTCCGCGGGCACCGCGTTGGGGACCACTGTCCTAATGACTTAACCAACCAAACAAACGATGGAGGTGCTAATTGTTTATATCAGCCTCTTGTAACTACTTGAACAATCTATTCACTTTTTTCTCCTTTTTTTCCCTCCTCCCCCCCCCCCTTCCCTTATTTATTCTTGGATCTGGACTTTTAATACTCCAGTCATCTGAAGAAGTGGGCTGTGCCCACGAAAACTCATGATACCGTCTACATGTTTTGTTAGTCTTTAAGGTGCTACTAGATTATTCGTTATCTTTTAAGTTCTTCTCCATAGTTAAGAATGAGTAGCCTTTTTCATGTAAAATAGTATTTAAATTCTCTTTTACAAGTGTAGACAGATTGCTTACTGCAATACTGAATAGTGCTTTTGTGGCGCTGACAGGCAGAATTCAACCCGGGAATCGAACTTGGGACTTCTTTGTCGCGTTAGCTAAAAGCCAGCTGGCTCTAGGCAAA